GTATGTATTAGATAAAACAATAAGCGTTTCTAGACACGTGACTAGCTACAATATAACATCCGGGTTACTGCCATATTAGATAACAAATAATAAGCTTTTCTAGATGCATGACTAGCTAAAAAATATATTATTCGGGTTACTTAAAATATTTATCAAATAATAAATAATATTTGTTTCTAGGCTCATAACTTGTTTTCAAATATTCCTCTTGTATATTTTTTTATATTTTAAACTCACTGAGCAATTTTGTTCGAAATCATTACTGTAAGTATTAATTAAACAACATTTTGTTACTTGATACGATTGTCGTTTGGTAACGTTCTGCGGTATTAAACACTAATTGATTCTGTGAATGATGTGTAATATAGATAACAATGATGTTTATTTTACATTATCAAACATTCTACATGATCCTCCTTCTTAGAACACACAGCTAAACCTAAATTCTAGGAAAGTTAATCTAAACAATTTCCACGTATATTATTTGTAAATTTTCTCATTGGCTGAAGTCTTTTCCTATAAATATCTATATATTTTAAGCTGTTAATCTATCGTTTTTTGTTGTTTTTTTTCAGTCTGCCCCAAGGCCATCATATTTGAGTGCAAAAAACTACGTTTTCTTCTTGGGTCGACAGGTGGCAAAGGAGCGTGGGTTAGAGGTTTCTGAAACGACCGTAAGTGAGAACGAGAGTTTCATTGTTGAGTTGCCAAAGTTGTGCGACCTCTTGAGGAAATTGAAAGATGATTTACGAAGCGATTATGAAAAGTGAGTTCATCAATCCGATAACGAGCTCTCGTTTAGTTTTCTTTTTTGACGTTTCCTGTTCACAGGCCGAATCACACTAAATCGGAATGACCGTTCAATACTTTTTCTTTAAATTATTAAGCACGTGACATGCTTAACAATCAACGCAGAAATCGGGGTTGTTGTTCCCACGTTTTTAACTATTTACTTTCCAAGATCTCTAGTTTATATTTAGGCTTCAGTAAGTAATGAATTGGGTCTTGCTAGCTGAACTCGGATATTTAGTCATTTCAAAAAAAAAAAAAAATCACATTAGTTGACAAAAACATTCGGAAAAGCTCCTTTGTTTAGTAACTGATTTACTAGTTGATCTTTCAGAGAAAAACTTTCACAAGTTATAACACTGGAAATACGTGAAACTACAGAAGGTTATTAGCATCTTGTCGTTATACTGTTTAACTATAGATTTTGTTTGTTTCAGAATTTCGCGCTAAGCGTTGTTTGCATATAGCTATTTATAATATTGGCCTATTTTTGTGTAATCAAATAGTGGTATTTGGCTGTCACTCTTATAGCGCACCCACAGCTTCGAAGTGCGGACCGCGTTGTTCTCTGTAACAGGGCACGAGTTAATCTTCGGATTCACAGTGGGATATCAGCAATGTGTCCATCAAGGGAATTGAACCTCTAATTTTAGAGTTATAAGTTCTAAAGCTTATCGCTTAGCCGACGGGGACAACTGGGTTTTACCAAAAAGTGTCAGTTACATACCATGAAATATTTCGAATAAAATAGTAACTGTTTTTTCCATTCTTTTGTTATCTTCGTTTAGCCTTTTACTCGTATTTGTAGTGAGTGGCTTGGATCAGTTATTTTCTGTTATAAGCTTGAATTAATGGTTCATGACGTATACATACTGTTTTTTATTTATGTTAAGTATTCAATTTACAATTATCTGACTGACATTAAAAATTACCGTTTTTATCAACCGAATTACCCCTGGTGGCTTAGCAGTAAGTCTGAGGGCTTGCAAAGCTAAAAATAGGGTTTCGATACCCCCGATTGGCACAGCACAAATAATCCATTGTGTAGTTTTGCGCTTAACAATAAACAAGCAAATTAACGGAACTAAACCCTCCCACACTCCCCAGACAGATTAATCAGTTCTTCTAGAGGGTTCAAACACAGACTGGGACAGTCATATTAAAACTCAGGAGACACGAACACTCTTAGGGGGTAAAAACACAGACTAGGACAGTCATATTAAAACTCAGGAGGCACGAACACTCTCAGGGGTACAAACACAGACTAGGACGGTCATATTGAAACTCAGGGGGTGCAAACACAGATAGGACATGCTATTTCATAGCTTCATATTTGCCCCAAATTACTAAAATTATATCATCTCCTACATGCTATCTCATAGCTTCATATTTGCCCCAAATCACTAACATTATATTACCTTCTACATGCTATCTCATAACTTCATATTTGCCCCAAATTACTAACATTATATCACCTTCCACATGCTATCTCATAACTTCATATTTGCCCCAAATCACTAACATTATATTACCTTGTACATGCTTTCTCATGACTTTATGATTGCCCCAAATCACTAAAATTATATCACCTTGTACATGCTTTCTCGTGACTTTATTATTACCCCAAATCGCTAACATTATGGGCTAAGGACGGTGAGTATGTTTCTGTTGTTTTTAAGCACGAAGCTACATAATGGGCTATCTATGCGGTACCCCCCGTGAGTGTTGAAATCCGATTTTTATGTTTCTTTCGTAAGTATTAATAGTCATATAATAACTGGAATTTAGCTAATATATCGTTAACCTTCCAGCGTTTACGGGAGTAATTAATATTAACTAAGCTATCTATTCATATATCAACTAAAAATCAACCACGTAATACATGTAGCTAACTAAGTGTGTTATACATACCATTATTACCTATAAAAATTATAATTATAATACCTGCGCTGTTAACGACGTTTTCGGCCGTAATCCTAACTTTAAATTTAATAATTAAGATAAATAACATTGTAAGTTATTTCCTAATCATTTACATAGCTTTCATCACTGTTCCAAACTCTTTTGTTTTGTTTTTTTCTAAAGGTTTATTTTGTGATAATCTTGACTGAAATATCGATTTTCAGTTTTCTAGAAGAATTTGTGAGCGAGCCACAAAATGGGGTCATGCTACTATTAGAGCTGTTGAAGATCTGTCATGGACGCCAATCAAACCAGGAGAGAAATAAATCTGTGCGGAATCAGGAGCGACAAACTATTCTCAAAAAAGCTCTGGTAAGCTTTCCAGCATATTTGGAATAATGTGTTATACGTGTGGAAATAGAAATTGACGTTACCATTCCCTGTAGGAAACGTAGTAGTATTTCCACTTTCCAATATTCACACGTTAATAGTTATGTGCATTCCTAACCTGTATTGTTTGTCCCTAATATTCTAGTCTATATTGTTGCGAGAAACGTATGATTTTACTGTGTATAACGTTTAGCGTTCACGATACTCATATCACGTGCAGGCCTGTAGGGATATACCGCGCGTAAAACATGTACAGGCCTTTATGGATATAACGTGTGAATATCGCTTCCAGACGTATATGGTTTTAGCGCGTGCATATCACGAGTAAGCTTGTATGTTTTGTTGTTATTCTTTTTACAGCATGCATATCACATGTAGGCCTGTTTTACGACTTGCATATCATATACAAGCCTGTTTTAAAGGCATGTATATCAGGTGTAGTCCACTTTTATCACGTGCATATCACGTGTAAGCTTTATTACGTACTTAAATGTCTGTAGTAATTGTTAAGTAGGTCAACTTGCCTAAGAATACGAGTCACTGATAAGTAATAACCCAGTCAAGCTTCGTTTAGCATGATATAGTTGCTGAAAGTCATACGTTGATTAGTTCAGTTCTATAATTCAAACACCATTAACTCAAGCACGATCCAATGTTTAGATTCACATGGTTAACTCCGAGTTTATTGTGTTAAACTTCGTATATATATTCATATATTCCAGAGTCTACAGTAACATTATATGTACAATATTATACGTGGGATTTTGGTTTATTTATATTATAAAACTAAAGGAACAACTAAAATGTTTCTAGGCAGGTAAAATAGTGTGTCTTATTAAGTTATTCAGCTAAAATATTGGTTATCTAATACATACCTTAATTAACCCGGATGTTATATTGTAGGTAGT